CAGAGAGCTTATGGAGCTCCTGAGGCGAAACCCTGGCATGCGTCCTGCGGGCGCACGCTGGGTGCTCACCAGCAAGGGGGCCAACCTCATGAAGGCTCGCCTCGTCGTCCAAGGATGCCGGGAGGACGGATCGCAGATCCGCACAGATGCAGCGACAGGATCTAGAGACGCACTTTACCTCACTCTCGCCGCTGCCTCACAATCTGGTTGGGACCTCACGTCGCATGACGCCATGGCGGCCAACCTCTAGTCTGGCAGTAGCGAGAAGCTTCTGCTGCTTCGCGTGCCAGCGAAGAACCCGCCGCCAGGGACATTGCCCGGCGAGGTCGCGATGGCGACCGGCGCCATCCACGGCGCTCGCGACGCCGGAAGGCAGCGGTACCTCCACGCCCAGAAGGTTTTCAGGGAGCACGGTCTTCTCGAAAGCAAGAACGAGAAGGGGCTCTATTGCTTCTACGGTTCGAGGGGCCTCGCAGCGGTCACCCACTCACATGTGGGCGTTTTCCTGATCGCTCAGCGGAACGACTCCTCGGAATGGCGACGCGCCATTGGCAGCTTGGACAAGAAGTTGCACCTCAAGAAGGTCGACGGCACCATCAAGCACTGCGGCCGCAATCTCAAAGTCGGACGACGAGTTTCGCGCCACGCAGGCGACCGCCGCCAAGCAGGTGGACCCCGTCGAGATCACCGCCGCGAAGGGCCGCGCCCCAGAGGACAAACTGTCAGTGGAGGAGGTGTCCAGTTACCGACGCACCCTAGGTCAACTGCTTTGGCTCGCCGTCCAGACGCGAGTCGATGTCGCATGCCCAGTCAGCGCGGCTGCCAGGCGCACCGACGTCGCCACCGTGGCGGACGCCAAGACACTCAACAAGACGGTGAACTACGTCCACGGGTCCGCCGACTTCGCCATCGCGCTGAAGCGCAACCTCATCGACCTGAAGACCTGCACAACAGTCTGCTTCAGCGACGCCGCGTTTGCCAACATCGACGGCGTCAAGAACCAGTGGGGCATGGCCCTGGGCCTCGCCTATAGACCACGTGATGTCGTCGGAGGCCGCTACGATCTGCGCCTGCCTGTCGCTTGGCACTCCGGTGCCGTTAAGAGGTCCGCGAAGTCCACGCTGGCCGCCGAGGGTTACGCCGCCCTCGAGGGGACCGAAATCAACACCTGGTTTCGCCAGCTCCTCACCAAGGCTTACAACCTCAAGAAGCCGCTCAAGAACATCGACGACCTCAGCTTAAAGCGCCCTGGGGAAGTGTTCAGCGACAGCAAGGGCCTTGTTACGCAAATCCATGCCGATGCCGGCAAGTCTTCCGATAAGCAGTTCCGCGTCGTCGCCTGAACCCCAACAGCGAGCTGCGCTTGACTGGGGTGCCCACCTGGAGTATGGCTGCCGACTCGCTCACGAAGGTGATGGAGACCGGCCTGCTGCTTTCGCTCTTCGGCGCCAAGCAGCACAACTTCGGCACCCGGCAGCCCAACGCCGCCATGATTGCCTCTGTGATCGCCGCGTGCATCGGCAAGGAAAAGGGTCAGCCGACCCCAGGGCCGCCACCGCCGTTCGATCTGAGTCACTATACATGTGCTACCTGACATGCTTCTCTATATTCCTGGGCATGACGATCGGGCTCAGCATCTTTGCGGTCATGTGGTTCACGGTGTCCCAAAACGCCATCAGGCCGTCGCCGCAGCCAGAGGACAAGGCCACCGCCGACTGGCACCCGGCTGCGACGGACGCCGCCTGGGCCGATACAACAATCCGCCGCCCGCGATTCCCGAGGAGGAGGATGACGACGGAGACATCTTCATGCCCGACGCCGTAGCGACTGCGGCAGCGCAGAGCAGTTCTTCGGCTGGGAGCGCCACAGCCGAGGCCATCGGCACCTCCAGCGCCATCGCCCGCGTCGCCGCAGGACAGCTTCGCCGCATCATCTGCGCCGAGTACGCCGTTCACTACCACGAGCTCATCATCGGCCAGCATCGTGTCCTGGAGCAACTCTACGCCGACGGTGTCGCCGATGGACATCAACGAGTGTGCCGTAGCAGGGCACAACATACGCGTGGGATACAACCCACACAGCGTTTACGCCACCTGCAGGACCTGCAAGCGACATGCATCGTGGCTTCGCCGCAACCACAGGGTGCACAGCCCGGATTTCTCGAGGCTGCATCACTCCTTAAGGCAGGAGTTCCAATGCAGGTGGGCGCAAATGATGGGCTGCGACTTGCCAGGCAAGGGCTCATCGCTGGCCGCAAAATGGACTAAGAAGTCCACGCGAGTGAGAGCTGCCTGCAGTTATTCGTTTCGCCGCCACCAGGACGCTGCTTCTGGCAATTGTGTGCGTTTCTCCGCATTCAATTGTTGTTTTCGCCGCCACCAAGATGTTGCTCCTAGCAGCCGTGTACGGTTTCCCGCATGCAGTTATTCGTTTCGCCGCCACCCGGATGCAAATAGCCAGCCGTGAAGGTTTCTCCGCATTCAGCGTGTTTTGTTGCTACTCGGACGCTGCCTGCTGGCAGCCATTTGTGTTTCATCCGCGCCTGGCCTGATCAACCTCTGTGTGCGCGTTTTTTTTTATGATGGTGATGACGATCAGCAGACGTTGCTCCGCTACCAACAGCTTCCTCATTGCAGAGTAATAAGGCCCGAGCCAAATGCCCGTTGTGATAGAGAATGTGTTTTCGCAGGTGCGTGCGAGCACCCGTTAAATCGCCCCGAGGGCAGCCTGCTAGCACGCCGTGCGAGCCGTTTGCTCGCGATAGATTATCTCGATAATCAGCCTCCCGCTCGCAATGTAGTTTCCGGCGAGTGCCTTGTTATAGTCCTCGCTCAGGCGCCCGAGACGGCGACTAGGAGTGTGAATCAAGCTCACTCCCCAGGAATGTAAGAGGCCCGAGAGGGATTCCCCCAGAAGCCTCGAGGGCCCTGCGGTTTCATTCCTCACTCTCTCCCTGTTTGTTTATATGGTTCCCTGCCGCCGCTGTTTATTCTCGAATAGGGCCCTTGGCCTAGTGCTATGCCTGTTCGACGCTCGAACAAGAACGATCAGCGATCATTCTCCCCGATTTCCATATCACACAGTCGATAGGCCTCTCGAGCACAGATGCCAGCAGACAGTCATATCTCTGCATTATTCTAACTCGCCACACTTTCGGGTAATGCTCCGACTCGACAAGAAGAAACAACTGCATAAGCGGAAAGTTGCGGAGCTCCGCGCAGCTTTCTCGAATCGGTGTCAAAAGACTCCACTCCCTGGCGCGCGGAGCGCGCCAAGGGCGGCGCTGGAGGTGCCGCTAGCCGCGGGGCCCAGCGCAAACCCAAAAAATCCGCAGTTGTCTTACGCGTCTCCACGATCAGTCAACCCCTCGGGTTCGCATCCTCTCTCCACACACCTCACCTCTCCATTTTGGCTTCGCCCCGTGAGCTCAAACCATAAATCCCAATAGCGCAGTGGGCCTAGGTGATGCAGCGGACCTGCTCTTCGAAAATCCGCCGACCGACCCTGTCGGCGTGTGCGAGGGGTTTGTCTGTTCGAGTCTTCGTCTCCGTCAGTCGTCGTCTGCGTCGTCACCTTTCCCCGCGCCCTCCTCAAGTCTGTCAGCGAGAGAATAACCTGGCAACGTCGCAGTCGAATCCAAGGGAAGCCCCTTTCCTTTGATCCCTCCCCTGTCGGGGGGGGGGATCTGGGGAGGGGGGGTCAGACACGCATCCCCCCCTGGAGGTCCCGCGGCTGCAAAAAGTACCCAAACAAGCCAAGGAGTGCTCCAAGAGGCCCCTGAGACGGTCCAAGGAGGCTCCCAATCGCCACACGATCGGTCCAAAACGCAGTCACGCTCCCACTGCCCAGGAGGCCTCCAAAACGCCCCAAGAGGCCTCCAAAGGCACTCCCGAGAGAGCTCCAAGAGGCAAAAATCATTGGTTGCCTTTGAAGTTTTTGACAGATTTGGGCGTTCTCGCCTTTCCCGCTTCCCGCCGCTCCAAAACGGCCCAAGAAACCTTCAAGATCGCCCCAACACGGCCCAAGAGGCTTCCAAAAGGTCTCCAAAACATCCCAAGATCACCCCAATACAGCCCAAAACGCCTCCAGGACAGCCCAAAAGGCCTCCAAGACAGCTCCAAGAGCGTGCCTGGACGGGGAACCCGAACGGACATCTCGAGCCCACGGCCCCGAGAAGCTCCCAGGAGGTCCCAAGAGATTCCCAAGAGGCCCCAAGAAACCCTGAAGAGGCCCCCAGGACACCCGAAAAGGCCACCAAGAGGCCCCCAAGAGGCTCCCAAGAGGCCCCAATATTCCTGGTAAATGAACATGCGGCAGAAGTATGCTCGGCGGTGCCCCCAAGGGAGAAGCGAGAAGGGGCGGGCCTCCTCAGAAGGCGGCGGGGACCTATATTCGGAGAAGGCTCAGAAGGCTTCTCAGACGGCCCGGGGCCTCGGGGAATCTTCTGAAAGAGACACTCGGGGAACTTCTGACCCGGGTCAATCCAGACCCGGGTCAGCAAGAAACCAAACAACTGCAATTGAGGAAAAACCCGGGTCAGCCAAGATGCGCGGCCGCCCCGCGGCCACGAGCGGCTCGCTAACCCGGGTCAGCCAGAGAGGGCCTTCGCGGGATCCTGCAGGATCAGGTGTCCTGGCTGACCCCCGTTTGCATTGACCCCCGTCTCAAGGCTCCCGAGACACGCCCCCTCTCGTCTCCCCGGGGGGGCGCGCCGCCGGTGTGCGCACCTCGCGCATCGCCAGCAGCGGCGCCCGCGCAGCTTGACATGCAGGGGGCGCCTCTCGGACCGTGCGGCCTCCGCACCTGCCCCACGACTGCGAGGAAGCCAGGACGAGGACGGGCTCGGGTACGGACAGATCGAGAATCTCGGAGGTCCGTCGGTTCTCGGGGATGCATCGAGCGCCGCGGCCTTCCCAGAGCGTTCTGGAACGCTCTGAGAGCGTCCCGGAACGCTCTGGAGCGGACCCATCCTCGTCCCAGCCCCGCCCGACCGTCCCCGCCAGCAGCAGAAAGGCGAAGTAGAACACGTCGATCCTGAGGCCGCAGGACTTCGAGTAGGGGATCGACTGCAGAATTGATTTACCCTAAAAACATTGTTTCCTATCGAACATACGACGAATGCATTGGAAACTCGCAAATGTACTGAGAATTGTGTATTCTCCGTAAGTTCGATAAGACAAGTAATTATGGGGAAAATTCTATAGTGGATCCCCTACTCGAGAACTGGGGATGCGGGCGGCCCCCTCCCGACCCTCCCCACTCATGTTCTGAGGGGGGAACGATCATGGAGGGACCAGCCCAAGGGGGAGGGCATCGACCTGGAATCGGCGAGAGATCGCCGACAAGGCAGCGATAGGCCCCCGATAGCGAATCCGCGTGTGCCTGGGCCCCTACAGGCGATGCATGGGCGATTGGGGGTCGATGCGTCCCCCCTGACTAGCCGGCCGCTCTGCGGTTGATCGGGAGTTTCTGTATATAGAAGAAGGTGCGTGCGCTTGTTGGCGAGGGTGAGGATGAGGTTCCTCCTCCTCCTCCTCCTCCTCCTCCTCCTCCTCCTCCTCCTCCATCCTTCTCTTGCCTCCGTCTGTCCTCCTCCACCCCGCAGCTCCATCATCTTCTCCTCCTCCTCCTCCTCCTCCTCCTCCTCCTCCTCCTCCTCCTCCTCCTCCTCATTCCTCCTCTGGGCACCTCCCCCGGGGCGCGGATCCACCGGATCTGTCCGGATCTGTCCGGAAACGGTGCCGGAGGCCGCTCTGGGCTCCTCTGGGCACCTCCCCCGGGGCCGGTTTTGTGAGGATGTCTCAAGCGAGGGCGCCGGTTTGGGATTCGTCCCCGGATCCAGCGGATCCGTCCGGATCCGTCCGGAAACGGTGCCGGAGGCCGCTCTGGGCTCCTGTGGGCACCTCCCCCGGGGCCGGTTTTGCGGGGATGTCTCAGGCGAGGGCGCCGGTTTGGGATTCGCCCCCGGATCCAGCGGATCCGTCCGGATCCGTCCGGAAACGGTGCCGGAAGCCGCTCTGGGCTTCTCTGGCCACCTCCCCCGGGGCCGGATTTGCGGGGATGTCTCAGGCGAGGGCGCCGGTTTGGGATTCGTCCCCGGATCCAGCGGATCCGTCCGGATCCGTCCGGAAACGGTGCCGGAGGCCGCTCTGGGCTCCTGTGGGCACCTCCCCCGGGGCCGGTTTTGCGGGGATGTCTCAGGCGAGGGCGCCGGTTTGGGATTCGTCCCCGGATCCAGCGGATCCGTCCGGATCCGTCCGGAAACGGTGCCGGAGGCCGCTCTGGGCTCCTCTGGGCACCTCCCCCGGGGCCGGTTTTCCGGGGATGTCTGAGGCGAGGGCGCCGGTTTGGGATTCGTCCCCGGATCCGGATCCGTCCGGATCCGTCCGGAAACGGTGCCGGAGGCCGCTCTGGGCTTCTCTGGGCACCTCCCCCGGGGCCGGTTTTGCGGGGATGTCTCAGGCGAGGGCGCCGGTTTGGGATTCGTCCCCGGATCCAGCGGATCCGTCCGGATCCGTCCAGAAACGGTGCCAGAGGCCGCTCTGGGCTCCTCTGGGCACCTCCCCCGGGGCCGGTTTTGCGGGGATGTCTCAGGCGAGGGCGCCGGTTTGGGATTCGTCCCCGGATCCAGCGGATCCGTCCGGATCCGTCCGGAAACGGTGCCGGAGGCCGCTCTGGACTCGTGCTCTTCGCGCCGGGGGTGAGGATGACGTGAGTTCCACAGAAACTCCCTCAAATCATATCCCCCGAATGCTGTACCTGGACACCGTCGACGATGCCCCTGCCTACCTACCAGACCTTCCCAACCCAACCCGAAGACCCGAATTTCGGGCTGGGGGGGGGTATGGGCTCCATCTGTGATTTTTCGATGTTCCCGGACCCCCCTCCCCACTAGAAATCGAGGGTAAATCTGAGCCTTCGGGTTGGGTTGGGGTGGTTTGGTGGGTGGTGGCGCCCCAGGCAGCTGCGTGCACTGCCCGCTCGGCGAAGCGCACTGATCGGACCAACCATTCTGTCCACGCCGCCTCGGGAGTCCGGCCGCACGGCAAGAGCGCAGAAGCTCCGCGTCAGAACAAGCTCTGACCGCGCTCTCGCAGAGACTTCTGGGAGGCCTTTTCTGGCCATCGCTCGGACGTCCATTTCCTGTGCTTTTCTCGGTTTCGTGCGTGCTTTTTCCGCGAAATGATCAAGGATGCTCCTCGATGGTCCTCGCCGAAAGGAAAAATGCACACGTCCGAGCGATGCCAAGACGCTCTCACAGAGACTTCTGGGAGGCTTCTAGGAGGCAGCCGAAGGACTTTTTACTCTGAGGGGACTGTGGGAGCCTTCCGGGAAGCTTCTCGGAGGCGTCTGCGAGGCTTGGGACTTCTGTGCAATGCGATCTGTCTCTAAGCAACCATGGTAATTTCTGCCGCTCACTCACCAGGAAGAAAAGCGAGGGCACCATCCCGGTAGGCGGCACTGGCACCCCCACCCGAGAAGAGCATCAGAGCCGCTCATTTTCCGAGTGCCACAACGACGGGCGTGCCGGGCGCGGGGCGCTCCATCCTCCTCGGCGGAGGCTCCGGCCCCCGCGGCACGCCGCAGTGAAAACGAAGCAGGGCGGGCGGGCGGACAGCGAGAGTCGCACGTCAGCGCTAGAGCCAAGATGGCCGCGGACGGTTCGAGCATGCCTGCCACGGGTGCCCATGTGCCACTCGCACTATACATAATGCACGCGGCACTGGCACCCCCACCCGAGAAGAGCATCATAACCGCTCATTTTCCGAGTGCCACAACGACGGGCGTGCCGGGCGCGGGGCGCTCCATCCTCCTCGGTGGAGGCTCCGGCCCCCGATCGCCCCCGCCGTCCAGCACCTCCCCGCAGCCCCTGAAGCAACGGCTGCATGCGACACGGTGCTCACCCAAGGCCGCGGCGTGCGCAGCCAGCCCGAACCTCCAGCCACACCGCGTCACCCAGGCAGCCGCGGGCATGGTGGGCGGCCCGACGAGGACAGCGTGCAAGACGCCGGATTCGCGGTTGAGCACCATCTCGACGGGGCGGCCTTCGCCGGCGGAGGCGGACAGCTGCTGCTCATCCGCCCCCCGGCGAACCACCGCGTCGCGCAGCTCGCAGCGCAGCGATTGGCGCCCCAGCTCCGAACGCACCTCGTCGAGCATCATGTCGACGAGCCCCTCTGGCGCCGCCTGGCCGCGGCGGAGCTCCCCGAGCTCGGATCGCAGGTCCGCGATCTGGCCAAGCACGGACTCGAGGTCGAGGTTGCTGCCGCCGCGCCTGGCCCATCAGCGGCCGCGCCCAGCGAGGCCCCCCGCGCGTGCCCCTGGACGGCGGACGAGCCCCAGCGCCCCAGCAGTTGAATCGCCCACAGGTCGACTCCGAGGCGCGCCAGGCCTTGCGCCCCAGTGGGGCGAAGGCTGTGGCCCCCGACGCGCTCGGAGCCATCTGGCGCCGCCGCCGGGGCGCCGAGGGAGCTGGCTGCCTGGAGGATGGTCGCTGTCATCGCCTCCTCGCAGACCACCCCCCCAGCCTCGGTGGGAAAGAGGGGCGGGTCGCGGTCCGCAACGCCCCCTCGCCAGCGCGCGGGGAACATCCGCTGCAGTAGCAAGATCTGGTCCCAAATAGCATGTGCTGGGCACGACGGGCGAGGAGGCTGGCCGGGGGTGCACGAGCAACCGTGCGTCCGCGGGATGCAGGCAAATGCCATGTGACCACAGGCCGGTCGCCCCGCACAAGCTCAATGAGGCACGCTCTGGCCGTGGACAGCTCGATCTCCCGGGTCATCCACCACGAACCAGCCACCATGGCGCTCCTGGGGCCGACGGGCCCACCTGCGTTCCAGGCGCCGCGGCCTGCTGGGAGGTCGCCCAGCCGCTCGAACGGCAGGGGGCGCGCCTTGACAGCGGGGCCCACGCCGCGCAAGCAGGATCGCAAGCTGTCCTTCGCAGCCCGCGCGAAATCGGCCTGCAGGGTGAAGCCGGCGCGCTCCGCGAGGACCCTGTATGCCGACACGTAAGCCTCCGCGGTGCGGTAGCCCCCCTCCTTGAGGCTGGCGCACAGCCGCGTCACCTTGGCCGGCGTCGGAGGCAGCGGGTCGTCGCCCCATGCGTGCAGGAGCGACGCGACCGTGCGGCGGCGCGCCTCCACGACCCTTCCCGCCGATGCCGCGTAGACGTCGACGGCGAGGCGGCTGAGCGCGCGGTCGCGCGCGGCAGGCGACCGGAGGTCGGGCGGCTGACCCCTCCGGTACGCTGACCTGCCAAGGGCGTCCTGGCGCAAGGGGGGTAGCTCGCCGCTGGTCACTGGCCCTTCACGCTGCAAGCCGACGCTGCTGCCGCGCGGAGAGGCGCCCTGGGCGCTGCGCGACCGGCGCCGCGGCGCTGCTGCTGCTGGTGCCGCGCCGCGCGCCTCGGTCGATCCGAAGGGGGCCGGGCCCGGCGGAACGGCGCGGGGCCGACGTGCCGGGCCACGGCTGGATGCCGGAGCAAGCCCGCCGCGGGCCCGGCCGAACGGAACGGCCAAGGAGGCCGACGTGCTGGGCCAGAAAGGGGGGCATGGACCCGGCGGAACGGCGCGGGGCCGACGTGCCGGGCCACGGATGGATGCCGGAGCAGGCCAGCCGCGGGCCCGGCCTAGCGGAACGGCGACGTGCCCAGACGGGGGCCGGACCCGGCGGAACGGCGCGTGGCCGACGTGCCGGGCCACGGCTGGATGCCGGAGCAAGCCAGCCGCGGGCCCAACCCAGCGGAACGGCCAAGGGGGCCGACGTGCCGGGCCAGAAGGGGGGCCAGACCCGGCGGAACGGCGCGGAGCCGACGTGCCGGGCCACGGCTGGATGCCGGAGCAAGCCAGCCGCGGGCCCGGCCCAGCGAAACGGCCAAGGAGGAGGAGGCCGACGTGCCGGGCCAGAAGGGGGGCCGGACCCGGCGGAACGGCGCGGGGCCGACGTGCCGGGCCACGGCTGGATGCCGGAGCAAGCCAGCCGCGGGCCCGGCCCAGCGGAACGGCCAAGGAGGCCGACGTGCCGGGCCGAGGA